TTTATCCTCGAGGTAAACCCCCCAGAGCCTTCTGTACCTATTTTTACAGCTGACCTAGGTATCACTATGGCAGAACCAACACTTGTGGTCAGGGCTAACCATTAAACCACTATGGCCTTGTAGAGTTCACTTAGACCCTAGCATCTATTTCATAGCATAACCCTGGTATTTTAGTATATCCCTGCCTTTTTTCCCACCCTTTTACCAGACTCCCAATCCAGATAGCCCATGTAGGACTACGACCAGTCCATCGGTATATCGGGTCAGCCCAATATCCTTTTCCTCTAGTTCGTTCTGGCAGCCTGGTTAGTGGTACCTCCGAGACTACTAACCTGAAGGTTCTTGCCCATCTGACTACTAGGACCAGGTACTAGACCTAGGTATCCATTTTGCCAGTCTAGCCTTTACAGTAGGGCCGTTGAAGATCCAGCTACCTTTCTACTCGGTTCTTCCAAAATGGACTTCTTGTTACCCAATTTCAATGGATTTACATGGCCATGAGGACTTATCTAGTGTTTGCACCACCCGATATGTCAGTTTGCATTCCTCTGTGTAACTCCAACATTGCACAGATGCCCCATGACCTGCCAGTCATGCTGATGCAACCATCATTACAAGTATCCTAACCCAACTGTTAGTAACAGTTGCTGTAATATGAATATTACATAGGTAATTATCCAAATTTTCACCGTCGATGGGATTTGAACACCCAATCTACCACTTGGGGGGTTGACAACTTGACCACTTCACTAGGTCGCCACACCTCTTCTTATTTTATTTATATAGATTAAACAAATATTTTTTTATATAAAAAATTATTTAAGACAAAATAAACTTAAGCAAAACTAATGCAAGATTTCTTGGATATTTTAGATATTGCTTATATAATAATTAATAAAAAATCTGCTTATGCATATTATTAACATACTAGATATATACAATAAATTTTTTATTTTTTTATTTTATTTTTTTGATATTAAGATGACTTTTTTAGTCTTTTGATTTTATTAATATTTTTATCAGACATTACAATAAGTATACAACTGACTATATATATAACTTTTCTATATTATCTATTTAAAAAGTTCATCTAAAGGTTTACTATTAGTTGCTATATTTAATATCTTTATTATTTAAACCTTTTGATTTAAAACTTTTGTACAAACTTTACTAAATCATTTATATTTAGATCTTTATCTCAACTTTAGAACATTTTTATCTTCAAGATAAACCTAACAAAATAAGCTATATATTTTCTATCTACTGCTAATTTGAATTTTTACTATAGCCAAAATTAATATTTGTGATTAGAGTTATTTATTAAACTGCTATTATACTTATAAAGTTTACTCAAACTTTGATATTCATCTTTTTGATATTTTCTTTATCATTCTCTACTAACTGCAACTCAAAACTGACAAACTTCTCAGACTTTCAAATTAGATAACTCAGTATGATATGTTTATATCTTCTTTTTCTCAGATAATTCTGATGGCCTAGTTGGTTATATGCTTCTTTATACATCTTATCATTTAGTGTATTTAACAATTTCTATAAAGATGTTTCATGAGCTTCTATTAATTCAACAGTATTATTAAAAGTTTGTGCTATCTTTTTACTCGGAATTTCAAATGAACTTCTGTTTTTTTAGTTTTTTAGTCTTCTATACCTGTGGTCTTATTATAGGTTTGCATTAAAGCCTTATACAATATTGGTTTTTTTTTTTTTTTTTTTTTTAAATATTAAGATAAGTACTTGCAACCCGGGATTTTATTAATAATACATTCAGCTAATGGTTGCATTACAACTACAGGAGGCAACCATAGAAAGAGTGTACAACTAGTCACTCATACAACTTTAGTCATTGTCTAATTTAAGTAGTCCACCCGAAGGTTCTACACTAACTGCCATACCTGGAACCTGCTTGTAGGTTCCTTATTTAACTACTCTGTTTCTGTATTCACCCACCTACCTACACCTACCAAGATGCTCTGGTCGATATCGGTTCAAATATGCTATAGTCACTAAGTCTTTAAAATGGTTCATTCACATGAGGAACCTTTGACCTTGTACTAAACCTTCCAGAATCTTCTGTATCCCATTTTTATAACTGACCTAGTATCGCTATGGCTGAGACCAACACTGGCGGTCAGGGCATATTATTAAACTGCTATGCCCTTGTAGAATTCACCCCAACCCTGGTACTGACTTCACAACATATCCCTACTACTTTGGTATTCAATTTAAGTTCCACCAAACTCCCAAACCAGATAGCCCAGAAAGGCAAGTCATAAACATACATCTTTGGTTTACATGTTTGCCGACATGTAACCTTTTCCTCCAGAACCTGAAAATTCCGGCGGCCTGGTTGGTTCCATTCAGCCCCTCCTCAAAGGCTGTTATTGTGTTGGATAATATATTAGATTTAGTTGCTTTTACATTTGATGTTATATTAGATTCCATTACTGTTACATTGAATGTTATATGAAATTTGATTGCTGCAAATTCAGCTTTTATTGCTTCAGGTAAATCAAATATTTTAATTCATCTCTATTGCTTTAGACAAATCAAGTATATTAGATTCAATTATAATTATTTCAGATAAGTCAGGTATTTTTAAAATATTTGTTATAGATGAATAAGCTAAAAGCTTTTTAGCTGTTAAATCTATCATTTCAATACTTTTGTTTAATTCATGCTAATTTTCTTTTTAATCTATATTTTATGATTATTGTTATAAATTAAATTTTTGAAATAATATATAAACTTTTTACTTTGATTTCATTTATTATAACTCTCTACACAATTTTGGCAAAGATTAATAAAATCTTGATTGTCTGGAATTATAACTTGTGTCATATTTTTTTTAATCCATTCAATAAATTCTTGATCATATCGAACTTTTTTTATTAGCGCCTGTTCGTGTAATATATTTATTATGAAAGCTTATCTTATATTCAAACCCTTTTTTATGTTTTTTTTTTATTAAGATCCTTGGGTTGACAAGAACAATCTTCGCCATAAGTTTCCGTACAGACTAAACACACCAAACACACTGTACAAGCGTTCAAACGACAACTTAAATGTGTTAACATAATAGTATCATTCAAAATACTATCTCTATGTTTTAAAAAATTGCTTATTTGTTATTAATCACATTCGAATCAGAAGTTTATCACTGCCGAATCAAAACTTATCGAACCGGCAAAACAGTAGAGACCGTCAATGTTACACATATATTAAAACTGGTGAGGGATTATATCCATCACAATTGAATCCAATATAAATAATTTAATTTGCGATTGATCACAGGCGAGAGGGATTTATTTTGGATCGGGCAAATATTCGGTCGGTCAAGTTTTTGTTAGATGTCCCAGGATTTATGAAAACAGCTGTAAATTTTGCAGATTTTTTGGCCCGGCCCGGCCCGGCGGGACCCAATTACATACAGGGGATCCCAAAAATTCCGGGTCGGAACCATCGGATTTAGCCCGGCATTTAGTAATATATTTTAACCATTTCTAGGCCAAAATTATCAGCTGGGCAGCTTTACTTAATGAGTGAGCTATGGTTTCATTAGTAAACCTTTTAGTGATCTTGGGCAAAATTAGTTAATTCCGGCCCTGCCGATCATGATTCCGAAGTATTCCGACCCGGAATTTTGGGGATCCCCCTGTATGAGTTGTAACATTTACTTGTTATATATATTGGAATTTTGGTTAGGCGATATTCACAATTTACGTTAAACTAGTACGTATAATAATTTGGGTAATGTCATATACGTAGTATTATGTTTGTATTACCTTTAAGATCCCTATAACGATAACAATTTTAACGTAAATTGTGGATGTCGCCTAACTGTACGGGCTGACCCATTTGATAGTCTAATCTGCGACTTTAGAGTAAACCCCTTAAATAGACTATGACTAAAGTAGTACGTATGTATGGCTATATGTACCCTCGTTAGTGTACTAAACATGCGAAGTCCCTGAAGGTTTCGGTGACTCAAAAATCTAATAAACCCAAGATCCCCAAGGGGTCGACTTTGAAAATAAATTTTTTTAAACACAATTAAAAAATTGGTATCGGTATGAAAACAAAAATTAACTTTATACGGTGTTAATTTATTCTAAATTTAGTTATTACTAATTATACGTATTTAATATTTTTAGCATCATCTATGTATTTTTTTTAAATACAGACGTAATACTTATTAATTTGGTTTTAACCGTAATAAAGATTATTATATGCAGTCATCGGTTCGGTTAGTCCAAAACAGCCTCTCCGAAATTGATGATTATTTTCTTTTAAACACCTAAATAAATAAAAAATTGATAAAAAAAGGTTAAATAAAATTCGTGGAATGATTATTTCAAGCTTCCAACATTATTTGTGCGATTTTCTTAAATCACGCTATTTCATTAAGGTTCTTATGTAACTCGCCTAATTTGAAGTCGGACAACATGTGAAATGGACCACATTACTGATGATATAAATCTTTGAAATTCAGGACATTGCAAGATTTCACTCTTTTTTTTGATTGCTTAACAAAATGGTAAGTTATTATTCAAAAATCAAATATGTAAATATTTCATTCATTAAATAATATTATTTTACAGAGTAATTATTATATAGTCTACAAACAATTGTACGTATTCACCCCCTTCGAATGTAATATGCCTTCCGCGAACAAACCAACTCGAAGCTTTGTTGACCATAATCCGAGATAAAGACACTAATCGTGGAGACTTTATCTTTTATTCTGATAGAATCATTAGGCTCCTTGTTGAAGAAGGTTTAGAGTTAATAATTTATGGTTTAAACTTTATTATACTATTTCTGAAATGATATTTTTTTGGCAAATAGGGTTAAATCATTTACCCGTAGTTGAAAAGACAGTTATTACACCAACAGGTATATCAATATTATATATATATATTTTTGATAAAATTACCAACTCAATTCTTCATGGTTTAAAATATAATATAATTTGATCAAATTAGGATGCGAATTCAATGGCGTTTCGTTCAAGGGTAAAATATGTGGTGTGTCTATTATGAGAGCCGGAGAAGCAATGGAACACGGGTTGCGTGATTGTTGCAGGTTTGTTTAATTTGGAGTAATAAGAAATAAAATAATAATAATAATCGTAAAATCAAAAACTTATTGACTCTTTTTATGATATGAATGGTCTAGGAGCGTACGAATTGGGAAGATTTTGATCCAGCGTGATGAAGAAACCGCGCAACCTAAGGTGATGAACGAATTATTTTCTTTTTTACATTATTAACAAATAATAACGTTCTTTATATATTATATTTTTTACATTAGCTTTATTATGCAAAATTGCCCCCAGGTATAGAAAATAGATATGTGTTGTTGTTAGATCCAATGCTTGGTAAGTAACCGTTATTAAAATATTTAATTTTTAAAGAAACATTATTAATTTACATTTTTAAAATTCATAAAGCGACTGGTGGATCAGCAATAAAAGCTATAGAAGTGTTGATATCTTACGGAGTTAAAGAAGACAAAATATTGTTTTTGAATTTAATTGCAGCACCTGAAGGAATCCAAGCAGTCATTTCAAAGTTTTCAAAACTCAAGATTATAACTGCATTTATTGATCAAGGATTAAATGAGAAGAAGTATATTATACCTGGGTTAGGTGATTTTGGTAAGTCAGATTGAAAAATAATTTGTAAAACATAAATTTTATCTAATTATTAATTTATAATTTAACAGGTGATAGATATTTCACATGGCCTTAATTGAGAATTAATTATTAGAATCGAGAAGGACTAATTTACTTCATTCAGATTATTTACATGATATATTTAATTATCATTTAGTCTACTTCAAATACTGAATCTGCCAGTATCTAAAATAATTTACAATCAATAACTTTTTAGGATGTTTTAAAAAAAATTTCTATTTAAATTAAAAATTTGTCAATGAGTCAATGGCAAGATAATTAATATAAAACCAACTTTTGAGTAAAACGTATTGTATGTTAATAATTAGTACAGATGGTATACAAGATCAAAAGACAGAGTAGCCCAATTGATGTGAATGTACAAATATTAGGAACGAAGTTAACAAAATGATCTTACTGATCATGGTAAAATGTCCTTATTATGGTAAATAATGTACTCTTGAAAAGTAATTATGTTAAATACATATATAGGAAAATCCAGATTAAAATAGTTAGTATATAAAGAATAACTGCTAATATAAGACAATAACTATTGTTAGAAGTAAACAATATCATTGCGCATAAATTATGAAAAAAATACACTCAAAGATAAGTGATACAGCTAATTAAAGTGATACAGGTACTTAGATCTAAATAATCAAGGAATTAAAAACAAACCCCTTTGATCCGTTCTTTGTTCATGATCATTGATAAACCAATTTTTTGACCCTCGATTGTTTCAAAGCTATTTTAGTTTGTGGTTAACAGTGATTTGTAAGATGGTTGACCAATTGAAAGAATATTTTTTTTACACTAATCAATTCAAATTTGTTTAGATAATAATGACTTAATTATAATCTTTAATCACTATGAAAGAATTATTTACATTATAATTTGTCCATGCTTGGCTAGCGCCAGTTTTATTTTTAGCATTTAATACGCATGTACAATAATTGAACGCCACCTATGTCTCAAAATCTAGTTTTACAGATTATCAATTAGACAATTAGGCTGATTAAACTGCAAGTAAACATCACACAAATCAAATGTGAAATAAAATTTTATTTTATACAAAAAGAACCAAGATAATATATATAGTATTAAAGTATCACAAAATGAGAACTGGGAAATTATATATGAAGGCTGCACATGTGCATCAATGGAGGAGTGCCATTTATACATACTCTAAAATCTTCACGTGCTTGACTCGCAAGCAAAATTCTTTGGTCTCAGTGTTTCCACTTCTCTGGGCTGTCAAGAATACATATAAACATATTCTTGATAAATATAATATCTTGTTCATTGTTTCTCCATTTGTTTTTATGCAATATTTAGAGCCATTCATTGCTTTACTATATATTTTCATCATAACTTCCATCGGAGAATAATTAATTTCCGGGGTGATGACTTTTTGGTCAACAAGAATGATTATAATGCAAAATAATTGAAAGTAATAAAATTTGTTTCGATATATGGCTTATATGAAACCATTTTCAATGTAATGTTGAAAAATACAGTATACCTTCAAGAATGTCTCTGAGATCCCTGGGAAAAGAATCTTGCGCCCGACTGTGAGAAGAATTCTATAATTATTGATAACACATATGATATATTGTGAGTAACGTAGGACAAACGAAATTCATCCGTGATTTAGTATTAAAAAACAAACCAACTTTCGTATGAATTAAGCGGTTTATCCAAAATCTTGTTTTGGTCTCGTCCGAGTTCAAACTTGTCCAAACTTGTTCAACTTTTGTATAACGTGATCGACAAATTTAAAGATTTACATCGGCCATTCCATCGTTTAATCAGTATCAGAACGATCAAGTCAATGCAGATTATTATTTCATCAAAAATAAGGTTCCCAAGTCGAGAAAAGATAGAAATAGTTAGACCTAAAGAACAAATAGTATTTCCAATATATGAGTTTTAACTTTTTTAGTACCAAAATTATCCAAAGGATAATTTTTATACTTTACCATAGGTAAGTGTTGGTAATTATCGTTATGGCATCGCCATTAATATTAACGTTAACAGTAACATGTTATACTTAACATAAGGGTAGAGTATTATGACGCATGTGGGTATTGTGATGCACTCTTATTTTTTGATCAGAATCGAGTAATTTTAGTATCATTCGATTCATCTTACTGAGACGAATCAAATAATATATATATATATTTGGTTTTAATTGCTAAACCACAAGATATAAATAAAAGTCGACATTACTTATGACAGTATCAAGTTTCTTTTAATTTTTATAATATATTTCCTTATGGTAATGTCAGGAAGAAGGATGCAATAATATAATACAAACACATAGTGAACATAGTGCGCCCCAAATGTAAAAAACATAGCATTTTTTGAGTAGATTTTGAAAGCTCAAATATATATTTTTTTAAAGTCGTTTTTTTTGTATTGGCAGCACAGAGTAATCTATTTCAATAAATAAATAAATAAATACGCTATTCCTAAAAATTTTTATCTAACGATAAGCAACTCTTCAGTGCGTCATAATACCCTACCCTCCCTTATATATATGTATATATTTGAAAAAAAACAATATCAAATAATTCAAAAAGTTTTTTGACGCCAAAAACCTGAAAAACGTGACATAAAAATAAATATTTTTATCACGAACAGGTTTGGTGCCGTGGTTTTTATAGGCATTTTAATTCAAAACCAGTTTAGTTGGTTATTTAACGATGTTGTGCATGATGTACAATGTACTCCATAATCTACTTATAATGATAATAGGCTTATTTTAAAATTTCCGTATTCTATAAAACCATGTGATTGTAAAATAAACCTCGATGCGAAAATCTACAAATCACCTGTATAATTAGAATTTAATATAAATAATAATTCATAAAATGTGCGTTTCCCCACTAGATAACCCATTAAATATGGCGATTAATTTGTTGTATATTGAATTATTGAAAGAAATTCTTGAAAATATTATTGATTCTCATCATTTATTCTCATGTATTCTTGTCAATAGAATATGGTGTAGGACCGGAGTTCCAATACTTTGGAGATCCCCAAATCCTTCGGAGAAATCTTTATTACCTCTTGTTACATCTTATTTACGTTGTCTTCCTGAAGAACAAATAAAGTGCTTAAAGGATGAAAATATACCCTTACCGAATGAAAAAACTCCAATATTTGATTATCCCTTTTTCCTAAAAACTTTAGACTTAAAACTTATTAATGATATGTCAAAAATCTGGATTAATAATTCCGGAAACAAAAATCATATAGACTTTTTAAAGGAAATATTTGTTGCCTACTTCTTAGAGCAGGCTGAAAAAATTTCTTTCATTCATCTTAATGAAAGTGCTCGAACACTGGCCATAAATCAGAATGCTCCAAATTTAAAAAGGTTCAGGAAGCTTCATATATCTTCATGGAAAGATGAAACGTCTTTCATGGAGAAGATTACTGATCATCTTCAGCTTATTAGTGCTGAATGTGTAAATTGTAAAACAAAATCTTTAGCATTAGCGAGTCTTATTCAAAAACAGAAATATTTACAACATCTTAAACTTCTTTATACGTCTAATGATGATTATTGTTCGATTATTTTTAAATCTTTACCGAGTCAATCAAATTCTTTAAAGAAACTTGAGCTACATCGTGTTAATTTGAATACGATTGATTCATGGGAATCATGTTATAATTTAAAGGCATTAGAAATTCGAAATTGCATGGGAACTCGTGATTTTTCATCAAATCCTTGGAAACCAATATTTCCAAATTTACAAAATCTTATAATTATTAATTACGATCATAATCGTCAATTTTTTGTTCCTTTCATCGTCAAAATAATTGAAGCAGCGGCAAAAAATCTTTTGCATTTTAAATGTTCGATGTTGGGTGATATGTCAGAAATCATAACTTCCATCGCCTTAAATTGTCCAAATATTCATCATTTGGACCTTCAATCTTCTTCAAGTTCTCAAATTATTTTAATCTTAAATTCTTGTCATAAGTTGAAAACGTTAAAGGTTTATTCTAATGATATTAATGAATTCGCTTTTACCGAAATGATTAAACATATAAAATCATTAAAAAAATTTTTAGTTATAGGATCCCGTGATCACCAGTCCCTCTACTGTTAGCAGCTCTTCATATACTCGCGTATAATATTGTATGCCATAATCTTTTTTTATTAAAAAAGGTACAAAGATTTAAATTAATTGCAAAGAATCTACAATACTATATATTTGATATTGTATCTCAAAAATATATATTTTTTTGATTCACTTTTACTTTCCAAAAGGTTTAAATTTTCAAAAAATACTTCCTCGCAAGAATGTAAGCTTGGATTTTGTTGATTCATTTCGAAAAATAGGTTAAAACATTCCGATGGTGCTAAAATTGGATGAACTTGTGCACTTGTTATTCTATGTGAAAAGTCTTGTTTTAATTGTTTAACATGCGTTAATCTATTCGTAGCAAATTGTGTTGCGCAGATATGTTCGAATGTTAAATGTGAATCGAAACTTTTAATTTCCCAGTTGATGTTACGTATTCAAAGTATCGACTCAAGAAGACCAGTTTATGGTGTAAGTTGTTGAAAATAATGCGATTGATGAAATGTTGGAAGTATATACTGGGGTAAAATCGCCACCCAAAGAAGTTCGAAAATGGTGTGATATTTGTCAATTCATCATGATTAGATCATATAATTATATTTATAATATTAACATAATTGATTTAGTAAGTGATTGTTTTTCTTCAATTCTTTAAAGCGAAAAGATTCAATAAACACACTATTCTAACAATATATGTTAATTACCGTAACCAATTTCGACTAACAATAAATGAAAAAAGAATGAAAATCGAAATAAAATCAAAAATTAATCAAGAAAATGCAATTGCACCAGAAAACTTATTTTTAATGCTCTTTCCGAAAATTATAACTCTGATTATTTATTTGAATCCAGGACGCAACAGCAAAAAATTATTGAAGAAGTATGAAATAAAAACTTTGTTATTGCATAAATTGGAGGATCATAATCATTTTAAAAGGCAATGGAATATTCCAAATATTTAGAAAAACCGGAATCTTAATACTTTCTGGCTATAATAAATATTACGTTTATTGAGTTATTCGAAATAAATACAATGATTAATTTATTACTTATCGTTATGTCTAAATCTTTTTGTTTGTATTTTTTTGTTACATGAATTTTTAGTGTTCGATATATTTGTCACGTGGTGTTCGAAACTTTTTTGGGTGGCGGGTCGAAGCATGTCAAGAACAAGTTTGATGATTCTTCGTATATGTCGTACCTCAGATTCGAATAGACATATAGGTTTGCATCAAATCACTTCATCATCTATACGTCATACTAAAATACATATACTAATATATATCATAGTATATACTTGGTTTATTTCACAACAAACTTTGACAACTTAGTCAAAAAAATATATCAATAATTTAGCACTAAACAAAAAAGAAAATGGCTTGATAAATTACAAAAAATCACAATAAATTTTTTTTCTGGTGTTAAGGTGAGGTTTTGCTCATATCTTTATTAGTAAAATTACAACAAATTAAGAAAGTTCTTTTTACTGAGTCAAAAATAAATTTAAATTACAAAAATATTTATCTGATTCTTATATTGTACTTTATATTCAAATATAGACAAAAAAAAACAATAAAAAAATTACAATTAAAATTTTCATATTGGTAGAAAATATGTATTGTTATAAAATAGATTTTTATTTTATTTTTATTGTTATTATTAAGGTTGATGATAATAGTAATAAAGGTCTTTATTGTGTTTTTAATTATACATTATATATAACTTGTACAAAAATAAATATACAACTAATTATATATACAATTTTTGATTGTTTATTTAAGTAGTTTACTTAAAGGTATTATACTAGTTGTTATTCTTGCAATCTATTAATCTATAGCATTTTAGTCTTTATTTTTTATTATTATTATTATTAATATTTTTAAAGGTGAGGTTTTGCTTATATCTTTATTGATTTGTTAAAGAAGCCTCTAGGGGCTTTTCTGAATATAAATTACAAACTTATTCTAATTACAAATATATTACAAGAATGAAACTCAGACTATAGACAGATTTTTATTTAATTTATCTGCAATCTAAACCTACTAGAGTGGTTAAAACTTAACTAGATTTGATAATATAAGATATTGTTTGTAAGGTAGCTATATAATATCCAGTGTACAGACCAAAGGTTAATTTTATAAAGTGTATTTCCTAGTAGTAGGCAGTTATTATCTTCTGTATAAAGTTGATTAGACAGACCACTCAGTTGGCAGACTGTATAGTGTAAGTTATGATGTTGATTAAAGTAGTTATAGAATCTTCTGAGAATTGTAAATCTGTTATTTAGTGTAATATTGTTGTCTTGTTTCCATTGTGTTAATTTAGTAACATATGGTTTTTATATATGATCATATATTTTTTATAATATTTTGATAAGTAGCTTGGTAAGCAGTTTGGTAGTTATTAAAATTGCAATTTGATAAAATGTGGTATAGGATCTGATTGTAATAATTAGGTCTGTTGGTACATATTCTTGTAGTGTTATATATATATTGCTTTGTTCTCAATAAGCATTGTTGACTAATAGGCTATTATATTAGATTAGTAAATGATATGATTGTTGTAATTGTGATTGTGTAATATCTAATAATGAGTTATTGTTAATAATTTCAGAAATTGTTTTTATAATAATACTAATAAGATTTGTTGGATTAGAACAAAGTAGCCAATACAGTAGATGTTCTGGTACTTGACAAGTAATGCAGTTGTTGTGCTAAAAGCTGTCTGAATATAGTTCATAAAGATAGTGTAGTGTTGATAGAATATTAAGTAGTATTTTGATCTTGAGTGATTTGCTTTGATTAAGTGAGAAGTTGGTATAGTTATTTGTTTATTTAGTATTGTTGTTAAGATATAACCATATTGCATTCTAGTTAATTTGTGATGATAATATAATAAAATTGCTCATATGGTGTTGAGATAATCACATGACAATTATATATGCATTACAGATGTTTTTAATAGCTTATCTAGTAAGTTGTTCAATTATGTATTTTCTATATTTTAAAGTATATAAGATGTTATATAGATTGTTATATATAAAGTCAAGATATGCAGTAAAGTTGTGGTTTGTTGCTAGCTTATTAGCTTCATTGTTAAATATATTGTTACTATATGCAGATACTTTGTGAAAAGTAACTGTATATTGATAAGATTGAAATAGGTTAAGTAGTAAATGCCAAATAGGCCAATATAAATAAGAGTATTATTTATATATTAGAATTAGATAACTAGTAATTTTGCTAAATTTTGCAATGATTGATTGGAAGTTTGTATAAATTTGTATATTGCTATTGCATAAGCATATACAAATAGCAGATAGTATTGTCATAAGTTTTGCTTTGTAAGATAATAATCAGAGTTTAATACAAGAAGAATATGATTGAAATATTGTATTATTGTAAATTTGTATCTATCTAATGTTCATAGAGCATTTGTAAGTAGTAAGATTAGTAACTGATTCATCTGTATAGAATATGAAATTAGTATTTCTCTTATTGAGGTTAGCAATTTTCTAAAGTTTAATAAAAAAAAATAACTTTAAATAGATTAAATATAGATGTATTAGTAAGTATAATAGTAGGTAATAGTGGGATTAATAGGGGTGATTGTAAAGCAATAGAATAAATAAGGTCTAGGTAGTTTGCATTTAAGTTAAGTTCTTTTATATTGTTGTATTTTTTTTCATTATAAAATTTTGTTGCAGAATTAGCTTAGATGCTAAAAGTGCAATAGTTTTGAATTTTGTTTGAGTTGTGTATGCATCTTGTGCATCATATATAATTAATAGTTGGAAGTAGGTAAAGGCTGATATAGGAGGGATTATGTTTGGTTATCTAGTATGTAATTGAAATAGTATTATTATTAGTATTGTATTTGCATGCTTTTCTAATAATTATTTCTTGATAGTTATAGTCAAAAGTAATTAGCTATAGTTTAGATTTAGAGCTATAGTAGCCTGTTATGAATGACAAGGAATTAGAGTTAAAAAGGGTTAGTGATAAGTCTATTTGTTTAGTATGGTTGTTTGTAATAATTTTGTTTTCTAGTATAGTAAATTATTTAGATTTTCATCCAATAGAAATTTGTCTAAGTTTAGATAAGATGTGTGTTCAATTCAGAAGTATAAAGTTATCGAATGATGTAAGTTATTCAAGGTATAAAATGTGTTTGTTAAGTAACTGTTTTTTGAAGTTGTTATAGTTAGAATGTGTATGTAAAAGAGTTTTGATTGAAATATATAGGTATGTTAGTATATAAGGTTGTATTGAATATGCAGAGATTGTAAGCTGCATATGTCTAAGAAGTTGAATTATTTGAAATGTTGTAATATGTTTATTGGCTCTATCTATAGAAGAGTTGGGGTGTTAAAGGATGTTAGTAGTTGACCAAAAGTTGTTTTGGAGTCTTTGTAGTCTTATTTGAGTAGTAACTCCAAGTAGGTCTGTTTTGTTAAGTCAAAGAAGAAAGTTGCTAATATGATGTTATAGCTGTATATTTTATATATTTTTGTTTTATATATGTTGTGATTAAGCATTCTACTATTGGAAGTAGTGATTAGGAGTTTGGATTTGTGTTTGGCTACAGTAAGATATTTTGACAAAATCTTGTTATATATATTGTAAGATATAACTATATTATATATTCAATATTTAAAGATGAGTATAATTATATTATTGATAACATAACTAGTTTGTTTGTCTGTTATTTGTTTAGTTTATATAATGTTAGTTAATTCTAATATTTTTTTGTATAATTATTTTGAATATGATGAATTATGTATTAGTTGCTATATACCAGCATTTTAAAAACTTTAAAGATATATTATAAGGCTGTATTTGTATAGTAGTATTTATAAAGTTGAATATAAATATAAGTTTTGTGTTAAATATTAAGATAGATTTGTTTGTATTAACTTTGATGTTTGCCATCTGATAGAATTTTGAAGCTGTGTTAAAAATGTTTTGGAGTTGTTATTGAGAGTCTGCAATCTACAGTATATTATCCATATAGATGAGAATAGAGGTATTAGACTTGTATTTGTTAATGTTTAAAAGGAAATAGTAAGATTAGTCTTGTTGAGGCAGTAGTATATTCTTTGAATTTTGTGTGAATATGATAGATTAGTGGGTCATAATATATTTTTCATAGAAGAGGGATAATAGTTTCTTTTTGGTCGATTTCATCTTTTATTGCATATATAGATATTAGACTAAAGTTGGTAATAACTTGGTTAATACATAAAGATAGTAAGTTGATAATTATATGAACAATAAATAGAGAAAGTTTGATTCTATATAAGGCTTTTTCTAGAAAAGCAATGTTAACAAAGTTATAAGCTTTGCTCATATCTTGTGATAAAAGCCAAAATGGTTTTTTGTTACATGTTGCATTTTTAATAAAGTTGTTAAGTATATATATAGGAGTATTTATGCTGTTGCCAAGCAATGCAACATAGTTGTAAGGATTGAGTATTAGGTGCTTTGATAGAATAGATAAGAGTTTGTTTGTTAGTATTTTTGTATATAGTTTTTTGGTATATTTTATCAAGCTGATAGGATATGTTTTATTAAGGTTTTCATCAAAGTTTAGCTTTTTTGATATTAGATAAATTTTACTATTTTTTCATTGTTTAGAAATATTGTTTATGTTAAAACATTTGTTAAGTAAATATGTAATTGTGTATAGCATGTGTAGTCTATAGTGTTTAAGCATTTTATAACTTATTTCAAGAAGTCTATATGCTTTGTTATTGAGCAGTTGTTTAACAGTATGTAAAACTTTCTTTGTAGTAATTGGTTGTAAAAATGGGGCATACTAGTTCATATTAATAGAGGTTATAGGTTGATATTCATTAACTTAATGCAAGTTAAATGTCTTGATTTGATAAGATTGGTGTTTTGTCTATTGGTAGAAGTGTTGTTTTATATATAAAAGTATAGTTGAAGAGTTAGTTATAACTTTATTTGTTGTTTTGATGTTATAAAGAATTACTGAATTAGTATATTAATTAAAAATGCTATTAATCATTTTAGTTGATTGAGTTAGTAGTTATTTATATCTGTAATTAATTGCTTGGTTAATATGTTAATGAAGATGTTGAGAGTTTTCTAAGTAGAGACTTGCAAATTGCCTATTTTTGAGGCCCAGCTTAGTCTGCAATTAGGGATAAAATTTTTTTTTAGCTCAGCCTGGCCCATATTTAGTGTTATTGTTTTTTTGTTGGCCTGGCCTGGCCCATATATATTAAATTTTTTCTTTAGCCCAGCCTGCAAAAATTTTTTATATAATTTTACAAATTTTTAGGCCCACACTAGCCTGCAATTATAAAGTTTTGCAAATTTTTCGGCTCAGCTCGGCTCACAATTATAAAATTTTGCTTCAGGCTGGGCTGGGCTGGGCTGCAAGACCCAATGCAGGCCTCTATTTCTAAGCTTCAAACATAATATATAGCTTTTCATGATTGTTTCATTTGAAAGATCTATTGTGATAATGATTAAGAGTTTGAAGAAGGGTTTGATATATCAAAATCATGTTTTTGGTTAATATTATGAATTTGGTCAATAATAGTATTAGTGGTTGGTTAGTGGTGTTTGAATAAGTTTTTAATGTTGTTAATAATGCTACCAATTTGTTTAAGGTCCTTATAAAGAGCTGTTACTTTGGATAAAAAGGTATGAAAAGAGTGTTTTATAGTATATTTTTTGTTAAATATATGTTAAAGAGCAGTATTTATAACAGATGTATATATTTTGTGCCAAAGTTATTCTAATATGTCTGTTTTTAGTATAAGTGAGTTAATGTTGTTGCTTTGCATATTAGTGACAATTTGATTAGTAAATTCTTTCTATTTTTTTTTTGTTATTGCTTAATAGTTAAAAGTTCTTCTTTTGTATTTGCTTTTCTGTCTGAATTTAAGTGCAAAGAGAAAGGTCCATTGTAATATCAGAATTTAGTAGTTACTATTAGTAGCTTTGGATGAATTATCTAGATAAAATTTGTTAAGTAAAGTGATTGTATGTTCACTGGTCTATATGTAGTCGATTCTGCTTTGATATCTACTACTCTGCCAAGTAACATTAGTGTTGTTAGTATGGCTAGCCAGGTTATATATATTTGTACTATGAAGATAGTTAAGAAGTTGATATTTAGTTGCATTAGAGATAGTGGTTAGAGTAACTAAGTTAAAATCACTGAGAACAATAATATGTAATTATTGCTATAAGGCTTGTTGTATTCATGTAATAATAGTTGATTGTATTTGCTATCATGTTAGGTTGTTGGTAGATGAAAGGTAAATTGAGATGATTCTGAACTTATAATTATGTTTGAAAATCAAATCTATTGCAATAACTCCTCCTGGGTAATTAAGTATATTGTAAATATGTAGTTGCAGATTATTATGAATTAGGATGCATGTATTTTCTTTAAATATTGAACTGTTTAATCAGTAGTATATAAAATATTAGTTGTTATAGAATTTTTGTTTTTAGTCTTTGCTATTTTGGTTTTAGTTAGGCACATTATTTGTAAGTTGTTTTGAAAACAATATTCTTCTAATAGAAGTTTTTTTTCTATATTATTAAAATCTTAAATATTGTAGATAGCAACATTAAGATTAAGTGTTTCATGTGTTTGAGACTTAAGAAAGGTATTAAGGTACTAGTATAGAAGCTTTTGGTTAATGAAAGTATGTTTTGGTAATAAGTGCAGTTCAGAAGATAGATAGATATAGGCTTTGTTAATGTTAGCATTAGTAAAAAAAATAGCATAAAGTATAAGATTATATTGTTGAAGATATTTAAAGAAGGAACCAATAGTTTGGTCTTGTGAAATTAGAGATGGGTTGAAGTATACAAGAAATTTGTTGTAGCAGGCTTCAGAATTGTAGGTATGTAAGGGTTTGTGATTAATTTTTTTAAAATTTGTATTATAATTCTCAGAGTTATATGATAGAGTAGTTTTTAAAAATGAGTATTTGTCTTCTACTAGAGTGCTTACTATTTGAAGCTTGGTTCTAACAGCTGTAAAGAGTTTCATAGTCTGCTCTGTGCATTAAGTCTAACTGCTATTTGCTTGGTTTTCTATATAAATAGGTTTTCTTGTCTGCCCACTTACATTATCTTCCTTATCAACTACTACAGTTGTTTTTTTTAATAAGGTGGCCACTGCATTTATAGGGTTTGTAGAAGACAGGTTTAGTAAAAAAGAGTTTTTTTCTCTGTTTTAAAAAAGAGTGACTTTTCTATAAAGGTGAGAATTTCGAATTTGATCTGTATAATATAGTTATTAAGAGGCAACTTCTAGCTTTTCAAAAAAATAAAAATATAAATAAGGTTACTAACAATGATAGAAAAAATTTACATTTTAGTTATTATTATAATTATAATATTCCAATATGTCTTAATACATATTTAAATCTTGTTAGAGTTAGTTATATATATTTAAATAATATTAAACAATATTTGCAAAAGCACAATCTTGAAGAACATATACATAGCAATATCAAAAAAGCTTAAAAAAATATAAATCATATTGAGATTAATTATAATTTGGCATATGACATATTTATGTTTTTAAAAAACTATTCTAACATGTATGGTTTGCCCTTATCTAGACATTATTATAACAAAGTTACTATGCCAACTATATTTCTTTTGACAAGTTTTAGTTATGCATCAGTATATTGTAATTATATACAGACTTGTAAAGATAAGTATAATAAAAATGCTCATATTTTGGCTAAATCAACTTTTGCTAATATTTGGAAATTATTAATGCCATCACTTCAATTTATATCTTTTGAAAACTGATTTATATAAAACATATAAAATTATAAAAATAAATATTAGATATATTATACAATATAAAAAAAATTAAAGCTTACTAATAGTTATTTAAATTACTTAAATAGAGTACAAAAAGAATATGACTACTATAATGCTAATATTATAAATGCAGTTAAAGATGGCAAATATAATCCAAATGTAGTTGTTTCTCAAATATTATTTAAAAGCTTTAGCAGTAGTACTCATATTGCATATAATTAGACTCAAAACATGCAAATCTCTTATTTATCACAACAAATAGATGCTTTGTATTTTAAAAGTTTATAGAAAATACATTTATTTAATGTTTATAACATTAGTAATTTTTTATATATATAACAAACAAATTATGTTATTGATAAAGCTGAAATGCCCAATAATAATAAGCAAGATAAAGGTATAAATTGCATTCTAAGCTTAGTCTTGCATGTAATTTTTAAATATAATCATAAGAAAAAAAAGTTAGCTATTATATGCAATAATTGTATAAGTCAGAATAAGAATAACTTTTCATTATTTTTTTTATTTATAATTAATAGACCACAATGTGTATAATGAAGTTGAGTTAAATTTTATGATTTTAGAATACACAAAATTTATATGTAATAGTTGTTTTGATTTAATCAAAATTCTCTATTGAAAAAGCAAAGTCAATATTATAGAAGATGTAGTCTCAATTGTTAATTACTCTATAAAGATTAATTTTAATATTACTCAACATTATTTTAATAAAGAAGACTTTTAATATTATAATTTTAAAAATTACTTTTAAGCATTCAAAAAATTATCTCATATTCAAAAGTATTATTATTTTTATTTTATTTCACAATATTCTGAAATCATTTTTTTTAAAAATGATCTTTAAGATAATTATGAAAGTTTTACAGTTCATTTTTTTTCTTTTAATGCTAATTCTCTACTTCCTATAATTGATATTAAACCATTTTCTCAAAAGAAACAACAAGAATTATATAAAGAAATTGCACTCTATATTAATTTATTTTTCTGTAACATTACTTGTCCTAAACCAAAAATTTAGAATAAAAAATATGTTAAATTTTTTTTATAGTGATAGTTTTATTAGTTGTAGTATTAGACTTGTACTGAACTCAATATAAATAATAGAGTTCAGTTTATTCTAATTTAGCATAAAATAAGTTTGAGTTTTTGTGTTTTTAAAAAGTAAATAAAGTTGACCTGCAGATTAATAACAAAGTGATTATGCTCTCAGATCACCAATCACAAGGTTGCTGGTTTAAGTCCAACAGGAGATGTAAACTGTATTAGAACTATAATTGCAGATTAACTATACCAAATAGCATATTACGAAAATAAGAAAGATTTTTAGTACCTAGATCCTTAAATGGTGACAGATCTGACATAAGAAGGCTGTGATGATTAGGAGACTAAGGATAATAATAGAACAAAGAAATCTCGAATTAGGAATAATCCTAATAAAATTTCAGAGTAATAGGAACACAAAAATTAGTATATAGATAGTTCTATAAATGTATTCAAATAATGTAAAATGTAGATGAAGACCTGATAGAAGGTCCTGTAAACTTAAAATATGAACTAATAAAACAGCCATCAGCTGCAGCCCACTAGTAACCATGCAGTAGAAAATTTAAAAAAAAAAAAGTAAATAAAATTAAAAAGTAAATTTAAAATAAACTTGATTGTTAAACTAATAATTTTAAAAAAAATCAAGTTTTAGCTAATAGTAAATTTTTTTTTATATATATACTTCTCAATAAATAAATAATAAATAAATAAATAATAAATAAATAAATAATAAATAAATAAATAATAAATAAATAAATAATAAA